TCACTTACAAAAATGGTCGATCAGGTGATAAATAGCAAGATCGTCATAATTAACTTTCTAATCCAGGAACTACACAGGATCGTGAGACAGGAACTTCCTCGCACTGGTATATGAGTTTACACAGTTGTATATGAGTTTGCGTGCAGCCATAAAGAGCATCGAAAGCGGTCTCAGAATGTTCCCCACATTGTTGTTAACGAGGTGCAAGTATTTATTTATACGCATTTTCTCAACCTAGTTCATATTGCTGATACTCGCCAGTTAAATGTTGAGACGTAGTGAACAAAGCGAAACAAAATATCGTGACATAACGAAAACTAACATTGTCTGGTTTCCTTCCTTGCGTTGTAACGCGCAATGAAAATGCTCGGAAATTTGGAATTAAATATACTCATTGTTTAAACGGTGTTTTTTATTGCAAAATAATATACCGAAAAAGGCAATCAACAACTTTCTAGCAATTATTTCTCTCGATGAAAATGTAAGACACTACAAAAACGATCTCACTTCAAGGTTTCCATCAAGTTGGCTCAATTTACTGCAAGTTGTTACGTCAATCAAGATCAATATTACAAAGTAGTGAATAAGGCAAAGTATTTATTTGAGGAAAGTTGCGATCGAAGTGCGAAGTGCGATTTATTGCGAAGTCGTTACGCTTCATATAATTTTGTAGAATTTTGTATAATGTAGGCACACAAGAATTTTCACGTTAAGAGAAATACATAATAACATATTACAGCGACAGTACTACATTCTGAAAAATTTATTCTAGAGTTCTACTCTACGTATGTATATATGAAAAATCGTTTCATTCTCATTTGCACCATGAATTTTAGTATATATCATATCTGATAATCTAAATCGTGATATCAGTATTAAATTTTATATAAATTTGATAATTTTTTGTTATTGAAAAATGACAAATATATTGGAATTACTGGAATTATATACACACATATATTCTTTGAACACTTTTAATTATACGATGATGACATAAATACGATATAAAGATTTATGATTTTTGTACTACGTGTCTATATTTTCACAAAACTGTGTCACGATTAATGACGCGGCATAGCGATCAATCATCCTCACGGCGTACAAGACTCAACAAAAGACTCATTGGAACCAATAAAAACTCTTATCCAAATTGTTCGAACGAGAAGTCAAACATCGTTCATCATCAAAAATCATTTACCGTGCCGACAATCGGTTGTTACGTAATTTCGCGTTCATTATTGTCGAAATGAAAATTTACACGCTACCAGAGGGAGATGAATCGCAAGCTTGACCAAATGGAAATGAGGCCAATCGTATTCGACGAACGCTACTCGCATTAATTTCCTTTCTTTCACAATCGAATTCGCGAGTGAAGAACTTTCGTTGGGTCGTTATTTCTTCACCGAAGAGACGCATTATGCACCGTGTGTGTACCTCCTGCGAATCGGTCGAGATCGGCAGCTGTGGCCGAATGAACGCACGACCCATGCCTCGGCAATTATTTCATTACAATCGGAGAAGCGGGAGACTAATGATCGCAATTTGCCCGAAAGTTCTGAACGCGATTGCGCGGCTCGGCCACCGATCTCTATGGGAAAATTTCAATCTCCGGGGCAGAGATTTATATTTGCACGCGAAAGTCCCCCGGTACACTTGCCCCGAAAACGAAATTAACGAGCGACACGTACGACGTATGCGTGTTCTCGAGGATCCCGAGATTTCATTACAAATTACAGAGGGGACTTTTAAACTTTGCAATCGGCTTCGACTCGCAATTTCTTGTCCACCTCTCACTGTAGATTCATTGTAAATCATCAGATTGCGTTCAAAAATTAGACAGTAATTCTATGTTCGAATTTGTATATTTTGATTCTTCACTCGAGAATGTAATAAAATGCGATACTAATTGTGTTATCTTTTTGAGGACCTCAACCTGGAGTATCAAAAATAGGTGACTATTGCTAATAAAAATGTTCTGATACACAAGTATGTATAAATGTACGTGTATGTAATAACGTACGTGTTAATATCAAGTTCTTTTTTTTTTTTTTTGTTTTCTAGATACGTGAAATTTCCCCAAGGACTAGCTAATTGAGAATAAATGCTCGACCTATCTTTGTATTAGTTAAAGAATTTCAATAATTCTGCTAAAACTGTTTTCCTTGGAATTCTGACTTCCTTTTCGCAGAATTACTCGTGAAAGTGGTGATTTCCGTATCTAGTAACTGTTATTCAACGATAATTACTCAAGCGAAACACTAATTAATTCCTTCTAGTAATTAGTGACACGTGTACATTCTCAAACGTATGTTGACACGTGTACATTACCAAAAATATTAAACACTCGTGGTGTCGATAATGTATCGAATAGATGAATTGGGAACGGCTTGCTTGCATTCCAAATTCCACGGTGCCTTTTATTCATGTAAAACTCATCGAAACCGCCATTTATGGCGATAGTGTCATTTATTTCAGGCAACTGTTATTGAGCTTTGGATCGTACACAAACATCTTGTGAAATTACACTCTCGACTTCATCTACTCCGAAATATTGCGTACGTTCGCATTCCATTCTTTGTTGCTCGTTCGGACGGCGTCTTTTTCATTTTGTATTTTTATATCGATGAAAGCGTGCACGAAAGGTCTGACAATTGAACTTTTAACTAGCCATGTAATTGTTTATTAATAATAATGATAGTAAATAATAAACGAGAAACAAAGTCAAAGTTATATTCCGAAACAATTTCACATTATATTGAAGTCAGCATATAAAAGTAGCAGGTTGTTTGTTTTGAAAAATTCTAAGAATGCTAGCTTATATGTACATGTTATTCCGACACACCCTGTAATTAAAATTCATGCTAATGGATAAAACGATTAATAGCTGCTATAATTTACGCGTGAATTTACATTTATACGCTACGTTATATATGCAACAATTCTTTTGTAAGATTTATTTATTATAACACTAGTGTTATAAAGCGCCAATAAAATATTTTGAAATAATTTTGAAATAGAAAGACTACTAATCGTTAGATGTGAAGAAGTTACACAGAGGAGATAAAAAATAGATAGAAGAAGATCCATAGACTTGCACGAAGTCTTCTCCGAATATTCTCTATGAAGATGAAACCATGGTGTGAGAACTATACTCGAGCAATTGAGACGTAAAAATATGACCGTATGACTGTGTATGATCGTGTAGTAATATCGTAATATTCAGTTTCTTGATTTCGATACAATTTGGTGCAGCTAACATACGCAACGTCGCTTCGCTTATTGCTCCGAACGCAATTAAACTGAAATTCTAATTTTTTTGTTAACGAACACAGAGTGCAATTACTCATTTCGAGAAACATTGATTGCACCCTTGTGCTTCCGCTGTGATTAATGGAACGCGATCGTGGAAGAGGAACGAGGAAAAAGGGCTAAATACAATTTCATACGTCACTCGCCGCGAGAAGATAACGAGCTCCGCTTGGGAATTTATCCCTCGGTGCCGATCACCAAGGCGTAACGTCCGCGCCTTTTTGTCGTCGTCTCGTTAACGTTAACGAATGATGCTCCGGAATTAGCTTACCCCGATTTTTATTTCCGCATTCTGCCACTCTCACTGCTCTCGGATATGGCAAAGAAATTTGGAAATTTTTCGTATACGAATCGTTGCCGCGTAACGATTTGAAATTAACGAAATTAAAAACTGACCAGATTAAAATCGACTCGAAATTACAGATTCAAAATAATGACCGAAAGATCTGTTTTAAACTAAAATTACACACGTGGAAAAGTGTGATCGTGAACATTTCTTAAATCAATTTTTTCATCAAATTTAAATGAGTAAATAAAAAAAGCGATTATCATTACGTTTAATATTTAGCACTTTAATTGTCTTGAATATCACAAAATATCTTCTAATATTTTTCTTCCAAAAATCTTTCGTTCTGACTTCTATTTTTTACATAATTATCACTGAAACGTAAATATACTTAAAAGAATTGAATTTCTCATACATGTAACTAATTCCACATGAATCTAGCGTATACAAACACAAAGAAATGTTGAATGTAACAAGGACAGTGCTTCAAATATGCTACAGATGAAGACTTGACATGCTGTATTTCGCCTAGAGCCTCAACCAATAAAATCCCAATAATTATTACCACGCTTGATATGTATTTATCTTTGACATACTGTAATCACGTTTTCCGATCTTCCTGTTTTGTCACGCAGGATTGTCTAAGGGGTTGAATTTAGTTCTACGTTGAAGGACTGCGAATAAGAAAAAAAACAACAGGATAGTAAAGCAATAGATGTGTTAATCAAACAAGTGAAAATGAAAGTTGACATGGAGTATGACATTCCGTGGATAAATATACTGTGTGCTTAAAACGAATTCATTGTCTGCAGGCGTATTACGAAAATCTTTAACATACTTTGTACAGTTATTTTCGAAAGTAGAAAACTTCTACTCTCGTAGAAAAAAATAATTTTTGAGAAAAATTTATCTTGTTAAAAATTTTTATCTCGATCGATTTCGAATTGATTTCTTTGTTTAATCTGGGTGATTATTATTATTATTATTATTCTTTATTATATAATCATCGAGATAAATAATGAAAAAATAAAAAATAATGCACAAAAGAAAAAAAAAAGAAAAAGAAAGAGAGAAAAATGATTAAATTGAAAGTAATTTCAACAACAAAAGTCTGTACTTCTCAACAGATCCACTTTATCCGAGATCTCATTAACTACTTCTTATTAACTATTCCTATACCCAAACCGAACCAGGCTGTCTTTTCTTTCATTTGTGTCGAACTTAATGACAACAGATGAGAAAGTCTAGACGTATAATCTGAGTCCTAATCGACCATTCTCAGAGCACATTGATCGACGAATATTAAATCTGGAGTACCAAGACAAACTATCCAATGGTTATTTGGTGGTCACCCTTATAAGTGAAACGTGTAATCAACATTTTCCTATGATGTTTTCCTTCGAACGTAATCGTTCTTTTTAGTTGGAACTACTTTTCCTGCAAGCCTATCTTCTCAATTACCGGTTTCGTCCGTTTCATTTCGTATTCTGGAAAAAATGGTTTTCGCTTCAAGCGCAAGTCGATTCAATTTTATCAAGTGTGGGGTGCACCCAGAGTGAATTACATAAGAACTAGTGCATATAGACGAGTGAAGGTGTATATGAACACACGCTTGGCAAATACGTGTTACACGAACTGAGTACATATATACCAGTACCCATTCGCAGGACCCAACAGTTTACTCGCACTGTTCGTTACTCACTTTCTACAAATAGTGCCTCTGTCCGTTTCGAAGACGAAGCCATTGGCCAACCCCATCGTCATCGACCCTTTATAAAAGAGGTACATCTGTTGTAACAAACGTTGGATCCTACACGGATCCCAGTAAACATTTTTTTCATTTTCGAAACAAAAAAAAGAAAAAAAGTATGTAATTTCTTTCGAGCAGTCTGTTGAAAAAAATATAGAAATATATAAAACTAATTAATAGTGTCAGAAACTAGTGTACGCTTGCCAGAGCTTGATAGCGGTGGCGGTGAAATTAACTTGTGAATTTGGAAAGACGGCTGCGAGTGATAGTATGCAAAGAAATTTCACATTTTGAGATTGGATACTGTGCAACAACTGGAAGACAATTAACAACGATTCATTTTGATTCTTGCGACGTTAAATTTCGGTCGTCGATCACGTGAATAATCTGGCTTATGAATATACGAGTAACATTGAGCAATTGATAAAATTTTAATACATCGTACAGAGTAATTTTTTTGATTATTTCTTTGTATTTTTAAATTTTCGCACTTAAATGGAAAAACAAAATTTTCGTAAATTTTATTTTATTTTTTCTTATCTATCTATTCTATTTATCTTATCTTCTTATTTTTTTATTTTATTATCATTAATTAATATTTACAGGGACGAAATTATTTGATTTTAATATATGCTTTCGTTCAAATTCCTTCTTAGTTTTTCTCTGATACGTACCAATCATTTTTAATATAATTTATAAATTAACGTACCGTGGTTTTAATAAAAACGACGTTCAATCTTTGATCACTGCAAAATTCAATATATCGTAATTCAATAATGACAATTGCGCAAAACATTAAATTTTTACTGAGCATTAAACAGGATAATTTGTAAAATTTACTAAAATTCTCCAATTCTTGACTCATTGCAATGATCGTGTGAAAATTTTTTAAAATGGAAAAATGAATTTTCTTTCTGAGCTAGAAACCTCCAAAAAAATAATTGGGTAACAAGTTGCTTAATTGATTAAACGTCTGTATCAATTGTAACACATCTACAAGAAATACAATCGATCTACGATTATCGTCGGACTCGATATCCTTCGGCAAGGTTGCAACGTGAATACATAAAACGGTAGTGAAGCCTGGCACGTGCCGTTTTTCATTTCTGTTCGCGTTCAGCCAAGTGAAATGTAATTCATCGCGTTTATCACGTACGCGTTGCGAGAGCAAGATTTACTCATACACAGGTAATTTCCGGAACGGTATCGCGTGAATTCTATCAGGCGCGTGTAACCGTACACAGCTGCTTCGTACAGGCAAAAACAAATTTATTTTTCACATTTAAAGCCAATTTCATATCTTTTTCAACACGTCCACGCATACCGCAAACGTACTTCAATCATTTTGCCGTGTCTATTTCTATTATTTTTTGCGAAACTCGTTATTCTGAAACCAAACGAATCGTGTACTATATTCATCCGTCGATTTTTATACATCGGAAACTTTCTAAATTAACTTTCTAATTTTAAACATGCAAATTAGTAGATATATTAAAATCGTCGCACGTTACTCGTATCCATTTCTATCAGATGAGAAATAAAAGATAACGAATCATATATTCTGTCAACTGACAAAGTGAGAGATGAGTAGAATAATATTACCGACGTGTATCAGCGCTCATTACAGATACGGACAAAGACAGGCATAATTATATGTTATATATATGATAATTATATGTTATATATACGATAATTATATGTTTTCAATCGACTTATATGCGGCTACTTATTTTCAGTCGCATCATAAATCATTCGGAAGTAACAGTCTGTCAATCGTTATGTAAACAACAAAATGAAGATATATTAAAATACATTAGATTGTTACATATGAAATGGCTGATTTCACAAGCATATAAAATCATTCGGAATTGAAAAGAAGTTTGACGATTTAAAGCTTCAAGCTTATCGAATAAATTCGTTATTTTGCCAACTGTTTTATTATTGAATAGGGAGGTTATGCGTATATCAAAACGATAATCATAAATGAATGATCATAAATTTAAATACTTTTTCTTTTTTATAAAACTTGAAACATCGTCCTGAGCAAAGCGAATAGAACACTCGTAACACTAACGCAGAAGGGGAAAAATTTGGAATTAATGTGATTAAATAAATTAGAAAATTTTTTCTTTTTAACAAATCAATTTCAATAAAAATTTAGTCGATTTAAGAATATTCTATGTCAGCTAAAACTGAAGAAATTCAATTAAATTCGTTGCAATATAATAGATACTGAAAGTTGTTCGACAATTTTTATTATTTTAAAGGCTCGGAGTACACCGTCGCCCTAAAATATCGTAGGAATGTTTCGTGAATTTCTTTTCGTGAGTTTACTGTACTTGGGAACCGGTAATGTCAATGGACTTCAAAGATGGGGTACACAATTTGGACAAGCACCTCTGTTAGAAAGATTTTTCTGGAGAACGCTGGACTTTGCCTATCCAGACGAAGCCGCTAGAAGAATGGCAATGATGAAAGGAGAATTTATTCCAGAAAACGCTTTGCCCGTTGGCATAGAAATTTGGAGAAACAAGCTGTTCGTTACCGTGCCAAGATGGCGTAACGGTAAGTAAAATGTTAATTAATTTCTTAGAATGCAATATATTTGCCCATCCATTTAAATATTGATGCATAAAGTGAAAAAAAAATATATTTATTTTACTTCATATCTTTAATTTTATACTTATCGTTATATACGAAATCAATCCGATGTATTTGTTAAATTGAATTGATTGAATCGATCGAATATGACCGACTATTAATTCTGTCTATTATTACTATTAATTGTTAGATCGAATACATATTACTCGTGCTCTTCGTGGAAACGAAATTACCGAAAATTTGAAAATCGATGAAAGGAAAAGTCGCGCGAACAGTAACAATATGAACATTTAGATGAATGTCTCGTGTCAGGAACCGGAAGCTGCAGTGAACACAATGTACAGAAGATCATTGCAGGCAGTGCGCGCTTAAAATCTCGTCTGGCCGACTTCCGGCTCGCGACAAAAAGTGCCGAAAACCGTGTGAGCGATTTCAATGGGACATTTCTACGTCTCCGTTGGCCTCCGCCTCCACTTTAACCCAAAATCTTTCCCCCAACACTATGAGGCCCACGAGGAAACCAAGGGTGAATGGGCTTATTCACTCCTGCACTCTTTTATTTCCCACTTTTTTCTTGCTCTCTCAGTGTTTTACGTTTATTATACACGTTGGCGCACGCCGAACCATTGTGTATAAAACAAAAAAGTCGACAATGCCGCTGACACATCGTGTACGATTTTTTATATTGAGGTCTTTAATCCTCCTGCCTCTTGCTTCTTTGGCTTTTTCTATTTTTCTGTTTCCATATCTTTTGTTTCTTATAATGGTTACAAACTTATATTTCATTTCTTACGAGTCGTACTATTTTCCATCGTTACTTTGAAGATTATTTTTATTTCTTCTCTATAGATCGTAAATTATAGATTTAAAAAATTTCTGTTTCATTAAAAGAATCAATTATTTAATTATTTCTTTAATGCGCGCAATTTGACATAGATTTTGTGTATGATTTCAATGTCACTTTTCAATGACGATCATTTTTAACGAAATTAATCAGAAGCACAATTAATATTACGATAGTAAATATTTTTAAATATTTTTACGTTCAAGAAACTAACTACTATATTTTAAATCCATTTCATGGTATATAATTGACTTCAAATTCTTCCAGGCATTTATTTTCTCTCGTGCAACAAACACTAAATTCTCCCTTCATTTCGCCGATCTTTAACATTCCTCCTTTCCTTTTTCTTTCGCCTCTCGCTTTCCATTCTAGCATTCTCACCAGTCTCCTGGTGAACTTCTATAAACGCGTCAAAGCCCACCATAGTCGGTATTGTTTTAAGGCCAACTTTTCTTAAACGACCACTGCTTTGTTTGGATGGTTCTTTCTTCTGATGTCAGGTTTACTTGGACTGTCAGGCACAGGATATAAAATATTAAGGGAGAAAGGAAAGGGAAGCGAATGTGCCATTCAATTGAACTCGAAGAAATTGCATGATTTTTCACAGACAATATAGAACTTTTAGTTTGTGCAATGTAGCTAATTTCGCAATAGTCGATATTTCACAATAAAACAATGCAATCGCGCAGTTCATTTCTACAATGAACTTATTTAGGATAAAAACAGAAGAATCCATCTAATTACCAATATATATGTATACGTTTAAAATTCCTGTAATTTAGCCCTTCATAATTACTGCCTCATTTAATGACAGATTCGACAAATAATATTTTACCGTAGTATTTATCTCTCGTAAACTCAAATTATTATCACGACTGGTGTGATATATTTAAAATACCGTTACGGTAGGTATGATTGTAACTATGATTCTAATCACAAAAATTTCAAACGTCTTTGAAAATACTTTACGCGATATGATCGGCAAGTCCAAAGCGTCAAACGCAGTATTCTGGAGCAGTGATCGTACGACAATCTCGTCACGCAATGGTGACATGTCAAGAAAGTTTTGCTCATTATCACAGACACGCTTTCAATCATATTACTTTTCACGCAAGCTATCCGGCATCACTAGGCCAACCAGTTCAAGAATTTTTTACAACAATAGAAATAGGAAAACTAGATACACCTAGATAAGATTGAAAGGTCAAGAATGCTGCGTGTCAACGAGAATGATTTGCTGTCACGCGATTATCAATCATGAATGTCTAACGCACACACCGTGTAAAGTCTATATGTCGATGATGAAATCAAAGAAAGAACAACGATGGTCAATTTAAGAAAGAAATTGAAAGGACAAGTGAAAGAGATTAATTTATAGGATCACAAGAATTATTTGTATGTAACTAAATAAATAGAAATAAGTTGAAATGTTTGTTAATCGTAGGAATACCGGCGACATTAAACTACATATCGCTCGATGCAACTCGAGGTGGCTCTCCGAGGCTTACCCCTTATCCTAATTGGGCGCAAAACAAAGCTGGAGCTTGTGGTAGCGCAATTACTACTGCTTACAGGTACGTGTATATTTCAATTCAATTGATTCTAGATTTCTGAAATTTAATTGAACCACGTAATACAACAATTGATACAACAATTTCAATTTCAAATAAATAACGTACTGTTTTAATAATTTAAATTAAATTATAATGTATAATTTAAATTAAATGTTAATAATATAAATTAAATTATAGTGTGAAGTCACTAAATTTCTTTTTCTATCTTTCAAATTGTATGTACTTTTCTACTTTTAATCTTTATGACTATATAACTATATCATAATAAACACGAAGTGCGAGTATGATTACTGTAATATTACCTAAACATAAAATATAACATTACGTAATTGGATTGTATCGTAAAAGTGAAGATAATAGCTGGCTATTCAATTAACTAATTCTGTAGAAATTATTTTCAATCTCCCGTTGCTCCTAAATAGATCAAACATGAGAAACAGATACGTCATCGAAACTAACCCAATTAACTATATTTGTTTTGTAACCACCGATTGAATGTAAATTATTACAGAGTAACATAGAATGAATTGCGACCGATCTGAATGAAGGGAAAAAATAAATGATAAAATCTTCTAGAATCGATCAGATCTTAATCTCTATAGGGGATATTAAACTCTATAGAAAATAGTCTTGACTAAATAATGTAATTTATCTGTTACTAACGGAATCTCGAATCTGTGAGAACATTCTCTCGCTTTTCCTTATGTAATAGCAGGGAAAATAAAGATTTCCTGGGTTCTCTCGCGATTTACGAGATACAAGTAGCGGATTGTGAAATTCTGTCGCACGAAGAATTTTTCCACTTTCGGAAGTTATTTACTGACAATTAACAGAAACAAAACACAGAGTATATATCGTAAATTACAAGAAATTGAAATTTTAAATATTGCATCCAAAAATTTAAAAAATTTGTTGATCATGACGAATAGTTTAAAAAAGAAACACAAAGTGTATCGTAAATTGTAAAACATTGAAATTCTGAATATTGTAAAAATTCAGAAAAATCTAAAATTTAGAAAAATCTTGATATTAATATAAGATGCCATGGAATTTCGTCAGAAGGCTTACACAGAAAATACAATCACTGTATTCTTTCTTATCAATCAATAGAAAATTTAGCGCTATTATTCTCTATGTTACTTTCATTCCAGAATACACGCAGATGTTTGTGACAGACTTTGGGTATTAGATACTGGTACGATAGGTATTGGAAACACGACAATACAAGCATGTCCCTACACTCTGAATATCTTTGATTTGACGACAGATAAAATTTTGAGGCAATACAGATTGAGAGCTGAAGATATCAATATGGTATGTACAGCTGCACAGTATAAAATGTAGTAAAAATGTTATATTGAAAACGTGAGGCATTAAATATGCATTAAAATAATAAATTGTTCCTATATTCAAAATACTTAAAAACAATAATCAAGTGATAACTACAAGTCGCGTGTGTAAATTAACTGTTCACTGCTAAGGATATAATTTTTGCAACTATTCCATTCTACACCGTACGAGATTGTGTAACTTGCAATTAATAAAAATTCTTCAAATAGAATACTTTCATTGCGAATATTGCCGTCGATTTGGGAAAAGGAGGCTGCAACGACGCTTTCGCCTACATGTCCGACGAACTTGGATACGGTCTCATCGTGTATTCGTGGCAACAAAATAGATCTTGGCGAATTATGCATAGCTATTTCATGCCGGATCCTCTGGCCGGTGACTACAACATCGGTGGTCTGAATTTCCAATGGGGTGAAGAAGGAGTTTTCGGCATGAGTTTATCTCCGATCGCGGCTAATGGGTACAGAACACTATTTTTCCATCCTCTCAGTAGTAGAAGAGAATTTGCAATTTCCACGAGAATTCTGCGGGACGAAGACTTGTCACAAAATAGTTATCACGAATTCCAGGTATGCGCGTGATTATAATTACTATATATCATAATTAATTTTTTTTCATTAGTAATCAATTTTGATACGAATAATCAGAGTTTCATTATATATAAGATTATATGAATCTTCAACTAGCGTAATTTATTTGATCGATCAAGTTAATATAAGTAAATTACGATATATTACAACGAAATTATATGTATTATTGAACAGACGTGGACATATGATTTCATTTTACGTTGTAATTTCATTATCACTTTGCACTTCATATATAATATTATATAGAGATACATTTTATGGAAAGACAAATTATTATTTAAATTGATAAATAGATTCTGCCTGAAAGAGGACCACTTGGTCATTGCACTGCCTCTGTGATGGATGAAAATGGGCTCCAATTTTTCAATTTAATCGATCAAAATGCAGTGGGTTGTTGGAATTCTGCGTTACCATATGCGCCTGAAAACCACGCGGTCGTTGTTAGACACGACGAGGCACTGATATTTCCAGCAGATGTTAAGGTAAAATTTAATATCCTAAAGAACGTTCCATTCCTAATCATAATATATCTTTACTTTTTTAATTTAAACATAATTTCAATTTTCTCTCTGACTACTGAAACGATAATTTCTTTTGAATCTCTATCATTTTTTTACTATAATAAATAATATAACTTTGAAATTTCAAAAGTATTTGATATATTTAAATAGGTTTATATTTGTTTTTTACCCATTCAAAATATGATAAATAAAATTCTGTCGTTTCTAGGTAAATCGTGGTTTATTATGGATCATATCAGATAGAATGCCAGTGTTCTTGCTGTCAACTTTGAATTATACCGACGTGAACTTTAGAATATTAACAGTACCAGTTCGAGATGCAATCGCAGGTACAGTTTGTGAAAATTCCCCTTGGGGATATGTTAGCAATTCTCTTTGGTGGGAATCATAAAGTCCCTTGCAAAAATTATTAAAACAAGAAACTCAAATGTAGATTTATTGCGATAGAAACTAATTATACTAATTCTAATTCATTGTCTTAAGAAATCGAATTGCTATATGTCAATATAGAAAAACCAAGTATAGTTATAAACAAATACTACAATATTTTACCTCCCTCACTATCCCTTATTTTTTCCCATTTAAAAAAATTTTAAAAATCTTAAATACTTTTCTTACTTATCGATGTTTATCGATTGTACACTTTTTTAATTAGTATTTAACTCAGCACTTAAAATTAAAAATTAGAGAGAATTGTTTTCCAACGAATTCTTCTATTTTAAAATTCTTTCAGCAACATAAAATTTCTCAGTAACGGAAGTTCCCGCTGGTAATAGCACTTTACGTGTGACAATAATTAGATATTATTAGATGTCAATAATGATCAAATATTATGTTTACATATTAGGTCAGATATTATCAAGTATCATCAGATATTGCACAATTTAGATACGAGCAAAGAGTAGCAATGACGGAATCACTTACGATCCTAACCGGAAATATAATTGTTACTTTCCACGAACAAATTCCGATCTGTAAAGATCACATACCGTGACCAACTTTTCTCGGTTGATGGATACCTACTCGATCTTAACCCGTTCCAACTGCAACAATTACGTTCCTTAATAAGTCGAGAGTTTTTAAAATGGAGTAAAAAAGAGTTTCAGGAAGAAACTCCAACTCTCGTTTACGCAGCCATGTTCACGCAGTCTCCGAGCCAAAGAAAAACGGTGGTTAAATGATCTTTTAGTTACCTCTGATAGAAGATATTCTTACTTATTTTCTAGAAGTTTAATTTAGGATACAGAAATATTTTCTTGCTAAATATTTTTTTCATCGACTGTCCAAAGGAATCAAATATATTTGACCGTAATTATTCGTTAGTTCTTGGAAATCACGCTTCAGGTATAGTATACATATAGATATACAATTACTTGCGTTTATAGAAATTTTTCATGAATATATTATCTGTCTGATACTCACAAATATATTTAACATTAAAATTACCTACGTGGTCAAAATGATTAATTCCGTGGTACCATATTTAGCACTTATTTCTTCATACAAATCAAGTACTGTTTACGGTAAAGCGGTTGAAGAATAAATAAGAAATAAATCTAAACGAATACGGTAAACAGTAAGATTTACAGAAACGATTAACATGACGAGTTGGCAAAGGTTCGTTTAACGTAACGCTAATTCTTTTGGTTTCTGAAGCGTGAAAACAGTGATCGAGAATTGGCGTGAAATCAGCCAGCCCTACGGAGCCAGATGGCTCGACTTAGCCCATTAGTTTCGCCCTTGTTTCCGATAATTTGAAGGCGACCGACTATTCTGCGCTTTGATATACGATCGGATATCGCTTTTTCCCTCCTCTGAAAATTATCCGTTTCACGCTCGTAAAATATGGCCACGCGTCTATCCTGTGTCTCGCAGTAAAAAATCCCGCCTAGAACTATCTCCTACATTTTTTTCTTTTTAATATTATTTTCGTTCACTACTACAATAACGACAATCTATTCTCTGTATTTTGATATTACAGTCAAAGAAATGTTATTTAAATACAAGTATAGTCATTCACATTTTACACAATTATTCCACATAATTGGAAATTATTCTTACTGGCTTGATAATAAATTGTATTCTACTCCATCAGTATTTATTTTAAGACTATCATTTTTAACTCTCGTTCTACTATGCAAATTTTAAAATAAAATCCATTATTAATTAGTCGACGTTATATTGAATATTTGTCTACAATTCTACCTCCATATAGTAAAATATTTGCAGTCAGCTTCACATCGAATATTTTTCTTATTTTTACTTGTAAATTACATACCCGAAGTTTGTTGGACAGAGAAACAAAAAATATTCTGTGCGCAAGTGCCAGATATGTATTTTGCACGATTACTTCATTGCGATGCCGCGATTATGATACTTATTCACGAACAATAAAGACAAAAAGTATGGTACCACCACTATATTTTTACCTTACGTGGATAAGAATTAAGCAGAGATCGTATATTACGAAAGATCGGATCGAGCGGTTTGCATAGATCGCGTACGGATTGGTCGCCTAAGGGCGAAGAAATTACTTGGAAAGTTGTCGGTGGCCCGGTGAGATTAAGAAAAAGATTCACGCCCTGAATGCTAATTTCGAAGATCGATAGATTGCAGATTGCGATACTTCGCGCCTTTAACTGGCGATTAGAGGGCAAGACGAGATACATCGAAGATCGGTGGCCGCGATACGACACTGTTTTCAATTTGGAAAACAGACCTTTCACCATATGTATGTTCTCTCGATCGTGATAAAGCGAAACCTTAATGAGCTCCAGAGCTGTCTTGTTAACGTTCAGACCATGTGCATCTTCCGAACACGCATATTTAGATCAAATCTGTTACTCTGCCCGAGTTGCATTAGAATAACTTTACGAGCTCAACGTTATTATTGATACAGAAATTGGAAAAAAATTCTTTATATCTTTTACTAAAATCAGAAATCGACTAAAATCTGTAAATTCCTACGAGTAATAGTGTATATATATATATCCGAATTTGATTGGAATATTAACAAATAGTTCGAGAATCGACGTTATGAGATTGTAAAATAAAATTGATTGCAAAAATTCTATTGATTACAAAGTAAATAGCAAATCTACAGTTGTAGCGACATCTCTCTTAAGCATAGAACCTGTAACTGTTGTGAAATTTTTAAATATATTTTATACGCATATTAGACATGTTTTTCGTGATTATTATACATTATTTTATTGCCTAGTTTATACTATTGCTTATACTATTTTATTGCTTAAATGGAATAATTTTTTATGTCATACTGTAATTGAATAAAATTTTGATGAAATAACTTCTCAAATCGTTTTCTGTTATGCGGCGAATTTCTTACTATCTTAGTGTTGAAGATAATTAACAGAAATACAATTCTCTGAATTTTTCCCTATAAATGCCTAAAAATCTACAAACTAATAATTACAAGACCGTTTATATTCATATTTAGAAAATTTTATTTGCTTATCATATGTTAATTCCAAGATTTCAAGTTGCGTTAAATAACTATAACCGATTAATAACCGTTGCCTCGTATACGTAAACTTTACTTATAAAAGGTTATAAAAGATTAAGCTTTGTGAAGAAACAAAAATTTTTCAAAAATCATTATAGGTTAGTGATGTTATTCTACTGGAGAACCCAGTGTTTGCAAAAACTTTTGATACGTTACTGAAGGTGTGCCCCAGTTGAACGGGACCGCAGTATGTCTCGGGTCAAAATATAGGATAGTCGACGGTCCTTAGATTTCGAATTGCGGCTATCCTTTGGTTTGTTTTAAATTAACACCTAGCCAATCACGCTCGCGGCACGCTTTAACACCTTTTTAAAAGGTGGCTATTCTCCGAGTCTCGGTTCTTCCACCGGCGCCGGTAATTACGGGTTTCGAAGACGGGCTACGTCGACATCGACGTGATTCTCATTACGAATTACTCACGGCTACTTTCATATTTTCTCGCAGCTTTTTTTGCCATGGCTCTATGATCTTATTGCATTCCCCAGTTTCTAATCTAGCCTTTCGCATACGAACGAACCACTTAAGCAATCCCTATGTTGTAAAACGTGTTAAATCCTAATGGGTCAATCTTTGTAAATGACGGAATCGCTGATAGATCTAAATTTCTAATAATTACTTGTCAAATGCGAACACGAAGATAGACATTTGAAATTAGTAATTCGCAAGTGAAAAAAATATTATGAAAAATATTACAAAATAATATAAAATTATGATCCTAGCGTTTCTTCGTTTTTACTCAGAATTGAGAAAATACTTTTTCTATTTAAAAGACTTTCAATTAAGTGATCTAATGTGTAACAAAATGTATTCAAGTGTGATTTTGAGAAAAAAATATTAATTAAAAATGTAGAATATAACATATAACCCCATTATACAAAAATCAAGTCATTGAAAACTAGTCAGTATAATAATAATAATAAAAATACGAGAAACAAGAAAATCCAAATCCATTTAATCACAGACGAGGTGATTAATAGACATTGCATACAATGTATTTTTGAGAAAATGGGTCTCAAAAATCGTATTGCTGGCGCATTCACTGGTTCCCCAACTCACCATTGTTTAGAGTGCGCTAAAAAAATCAGAGGTTTTTTTTACTATGTCGGTATTTTAGGTCAAGGGCCACGAAAGTCCACAAGATACAATATCTACTCATATACATCGTCTGTGATCTAACACAGTAACCAGAAAGACTACTGACAAAGGAAAAATTTAAAACAGTAGACAGAATGGCTATTGTCAAATCTATATTCGACATGAACCCGAGCAACCGTATCTTGTTTCGCGACACTAACTCACTAGCATTAATCATGAAATGGTAAATTTTTAAAATCAAACGCGAAGAGTGCTTCCTTATATTTAAAACTCCCGAAAATAAGTATGCAACGCTATTAATCTATGCACCCATCTTCAGAAATACGCAACACTAATTGCGACGCGTTCAGTGCAACCATGCTGGAGATTGCTAATGAATGACCACCTCTGTACAGCTCTTGTAACTGCATCAGGTGATCCAGATGAGCAGGAACAGTCTTCCACGAATCCAGTGGAAGAATTTGGGCATTTTATAAACGCAACGCTACTTCAAGAAACACGATCATTCGTTATCGCAACACTATGAGGAAATATAATAGGAAATCGCGGTGAGACAATGTCGCAACTTTAAAACAATTTAATGAAAATTATTATGAACAATACAAAAATCAAACAAACAAAAAACTACTTCAAATACTCTAACGCTCTAAAATTAATTAAAAGCAATGACTCTATAATGTAAATTTAAAACAACAGAAAGCAAGATAAGTTTTATTATGTATAACACTAAAACAACTATAAAAATTCAAATCAAAATTGCAAAAAGACAATCGCGATATTATAATTCGCAACTCTAAAGCAAACGCGATTATCATTTCTTCGCCACTCTAATTTAAACCGTAACCGATCTCTCGCAACACTAACAACAAGAAAAAAACCGCGATTTGCCCAAAACGAAGATGAACGATGATAAAAGAAAAAAAAAATACAACTACAAATACTAAAAGAGCATAGTGACAAAGTAGTAACAGAAATGACTTCCCATGCTCTTGAATCATTTAAATAATCCAGAGGATGAGAAGCCATTTGTTGTGACCCTCTTCGTGGCAGTTTGCCGGGCCTCTTCGGCTTTTAGCCACTTCTTTCTTCGAGCGCAATGCCCGCTGAAACTTACATCTAGCTCGAGTCTTTCTAATCGCAAGCCAAAACATAATTTATAAAAGTGAAATAAAAAGATAAATCGCGGAAGCTGACCCCAATACACATGGACGACCATCGATCATAGTGATCGTTGTCCGTTCGCACGTGCATGCTCGAGCAATACCTAAAACGTTCGTTTCGGAACCTACTCGCGACCTATCCGCGACCGCGACCGCGACCGCGAGACTAAATTCGAAAAATCGAAGAGTAAAACCAGAAACAATGGCATGCTCCATTTGTACCAATTTCACTGTCGATTCTTCAAATTAGATTTCCTGAAACAGGTTGGACACGCGAAAAGGAAACACGCGACCAGAGACTGTGCCAACCTGCCCGGCCCTACCTACTTATAATTAAACACAGGCATACCAGAAAGTAAGCTACCTATCCTAATCAGACGCCCTATATTTAAAAAATGGCAAATCAGGCACACCAACACATTCACTCAACGATTCTCACACATACCACTCGGGCGCAGACCTAAACTAGAGAGTACANTCCCGGGACGCCTCCGACACCCGAGCTTAACACACAACTTTCACACTCTAATTTACGTACCATTTTCCTGAAATCGACTGACAATGGCTAGCGATCATTGCGTAAAACGTAACTAAAACGCGTTTACACGAGATATTAATAACTGAGAAAAAATACGTATAATTTTCATTGAAATTACACGTGCAAGTTGACTTGGAATCATTACTATAATTGATCATATAATTAATAATATAATTATAGTGTATTCAATGGCAAAAAATTAAATGATAATTAATGGTAAAATTTTATTATTATAATAAATGCATAATTCTTTCAATTAATGCATAAATATTTTAAATAGTACAACTTATAAGAATGAAACGATAAAAGCGACGCAATTCCACATCCTAACCACACATACACATGTGGAAAATACGTCGTGCACGATACGATAACACAATGTCAGTCGCTGAGAAATTTCTTTAATAAAATTACAAAGTACGGTCATCGTGCCCAATGTCTTTCACCCACCCAAGTAGCACCTGAGCACGTGAGTGAGATCCTGACAATGAACACGGAAGGGGTTAAACCTGAAAATCCTAAACTAAAAAAATGATTAGTTTATGTAACTTGTATCTGACGGACTATTGCATTATTTTATTTCAAACTGAATTAATTCTGCTCCTTCAGATATTATTGAAATTGCAAGAGAATAAAGACAACGAACAAGACTTGAATTGTTAAAAAGATTTATTATTATTATTATTATTATTATTATAAATTTATTTATAAGATTTATTATTATTACGAATAATCTAATAATTGACTCAAACGATCAAAATCAAACAATTGTCTCCAAATTAAATATTAATAGAAATAATCTCAGGCGACTTTTTCATCAAAGCATATTTTCGAAAATGCGAAAGCAACATTCAAACTTGTTGCTTTGATTGAAAAATCTGCCTGTCGCGAAGTATCTTCTTGCACATAAAACTTTATACATTTTTCTGCGGAAAAAATTCTAATCTGTTATATTTCAAATTCTACTAAAGTTCATAATTATAAAACTCAATTCATTAAATCATTTAATACTATTATAAAAAGGAAGATTAAATTGAAAATTATTAATTATTATAACAAAACATCACCAGTATCAATAAGTAATGACTGTATCTTTCATAGCAACGAAGTCGGAGGATATCCGTCTTCTCTACTATGAAATACTCAAAAGAAATAGTTTTAAATAATTATTCAAAAATATTTATAATTTATTTATTCATGTGGATATCTCACTTTTGTAAATATTTATATTGATAGTATGATATTTTTATTTCATAAATAAAAATACTGGAAATGTATATATCATAATTGTTAAAATCGCGATGTGCAAGAAGCCCTATCCTGATCTAATACATAAAAAACCTGAAAAAAGTGTTACTACTCACGGGTATAAAAAATACCCGCGGTCACTATGCTCGTCTAAAAATTCTACGTATACAACCAGTCACCCGTGCCGATTTGGACCTTTCATCCTACGACATGATTGAGTGACCGGAGGAACATAAATGCATGCGACTCACGTGATAGATACAAAGATGCTGCACTGGACCAAGGAAAGTCGTCGTGAAGATATCACTGAGAATCCTATGGTGGAGGTGAACGCCGTGAAAAATTTCTAAAAGCACAAAGACACAGTGTTATTTGTAAAAATTTAAATTTTCATAATGATAAAAGTTAGGATTCTAATAATTTAAAATGTTTTTATTTTATAGTTATAATTTTACATTTGATTTCGATGGAAAGAAAACTCTAGAGAATAAAATTAATTCAAGTATAATATGCTAAAGTACTTACATTCTTAGCTTTTGAAGCATCGTAAGATTGTTAGAGGATAAGGGGAACTGAGAAGATTGTAGAGGATCTGTAACAAAACATAACACGTTAGAATTTATATTTAAAAGCAAAATACACTCTCAAAATAATGAAATAATCTCTTGGATAATGAAAGATTCTTACATTCTTGACTTTAGAGTCACCGTTGGATATTCCCCAAAAAATACAAAAAAATTGATGCTGTGAAACGTCTGTAACAAAACGTCAAACATTATGCTTTGTTGTTAAATTTGAAAAAATTGAGTAAATTGAAGTACAATATAAAACTACTTACTATATTGATCTCCTGGAAAGGCCTTATCCTCTTGAGCACTCACTCTACTACCGAAAACAAATACTGAACAAGAGAAAATATGAAAAAAAGAAAAATAAAAGACTATCAACGCGCGCGATTAAATAACAATCGGCGGACTCACTGACTCTAATTTCGCGAATTATAGTTTAAACGAATTAATTTAATTTAATAAGAGCCATTTTGCTCAGAAAAATATTAATATATTACGCAACAAACACTGACTCTACCAACCGCATTGCGCGCGGTCACAAAAATTTTCTGAAAACTAAGCTAATTAATTAAGTGGAGAGGGGCAGGATGGAGGGGTGAAGAATACGTTCATTTAGAAAATACTGCTATTTTTTTAGAACATGATTATAAAGAAACTTGAATATGTATTAAAGATATTAGTTGTAAATTATAAAATATTTCTCAATATTGAATACTGCAAATGAAAGACGATTATTATATTTTGAAATTGTATTCTGAATGTTCGTTATTAGAGTAAGAAGTATGCATGTTAGTAATATATCACGTCACGTTATAAATATTCGAAAATGTTTGTATAAATCAAAATTTTACATCATTTTATTATATTTAAGAAACAATATCATGAAAAACGTGTGTGCAATCTTGCTTTAAATCGTTTCAGTTGCACGTCAGCGTTCGAAAAAAAGCAAGTATAATATAGTATAGTAAAGTACGAAAACTTTGAATTTGATTGTCTAATACAAGAATATACATCCATTTGATAGTACATGTTGATTGATACATGTATACCATTAACTAGTCTATATCCAAATAAAATATTAATTGATTTAATCGTTTCTATTTTCATCTTTGTATTCCAAATTACGAAATTACGTATTATGAAGTAATTATTATGTAATGAAATTAAGTATTATGAATGGTATACCAAATGTTACACAAAATGAATAAAATGTTGCCAGATTTCCATACAAGTTCATCAAATTGTCCATTAATGATCGTAGCATCTATACGTTCCATGGTATTTCTGCAATCAAGGAATAACCTGCACAAAGAGAAACCAAAAGTCAGAACAAATGTGTTAAATGAAGGCAAACGTGCAAAAATGAACGATAATCATATTAATTAAATAAAATTATTAATGAGGTATAAATGAAAGTAAAAGAATGTCGAAGAAGCAGCGCCATCGAAGAGACACCACTAGGTTAGAAAAAGTTACGACTCTAATACGACTTGGTACGTGTTGTTGTCACGAAATTCGACAGCAGAAAGATTCTCTGCGACACGTCTTGTCTCGCAATTGAGAAAATAGTAGGGGATGGGGTGATCTTGAGGTGAACGAACAGGCACGATAATTAAGACGAATATAAATATTGTGATGACTCGCGACAAATCTCGTTCAGTCGAAAGTGTTTATTTACGACGCCGAAGAAACAGGTGCGGCATTAAAAATCTCACATATGCACGTAAGCGTTGTGTTGTTTTGAACTACGAATTTCGAGCTTCAAGGCCTTCTACACCTTACTTTATTTGAGAACTGAACAATTTCATTACATTACACAGTAAGATTATTATTTTAACTATTAAATACGTACACTCATGATAAACCACATAAATTAGTGTTGAATTTAATATTAGAATTGTTAAGAATTAAGCATGAAGTTAAAAAACAAACAGATAAGTAGAACAGTATGTGTATAATAAAATACGTGTGTATACATATATATATATATATATATATATATAAAACAATGAGTTAGTCAAGTACAAAATTACAATATTTCTATTAGTTAGAACTGAAATTAAATTTTGATATAAAATTATAAATAACTCTCAGTATAATGTGTTCCGTTTAAATGTGCTTTAATATGCTATTATTTCTTTAACTGTTGAAAATTACATGTAATAATTATTTGGTTAAATATTACCTTGAGTCGAAACCAAAAATTTGCCACGTTTTATTTTAAAAATTCACAATACAAACACAAATCTAACAACTATTGATTTAAATTTTTACCTCAGAACTTCTGGTTGACACTTTTCTGGATGATTTTTCTGAATAACAATTTCTTCATCACAGATGAGGTGTGCTTCCTTCCGCCATTAAAGGTCTGCTCTCCCGCTTAAAAATCGATCGTGAAAAATATCGATTCGACGTTCCAGAATCGTAAGTGTATTCCATATTTCGCCGTGGTGTGGCGCTGTAATCGCGCGTTTCCTACGAAATAATTTAGAATAAAAAATAGAACACTCTGATCTAAATCAAATACACATAATTCATGAGAAAAAATGAAAATATTCACAAACTTGATGAAAAATTGTCACCACTTTAAATTGAAACATGAGAAATTTTATTATATGACGCAGTAGAATTACTATTTAGGCCATTAAATACGTACGTCTTTAGTAAATTATTCTTGAATTTAGTATTAGTATTGTTAAGAATTACGCAGTATGACATTAAAGAATCAACAAATAAATAGAAAATGTTAAAATACAAGTGTGTGTGTAAAAGCATACGATAAAATACGTACATATAACAATAAGTTAGTCAATTACAATATTTGTATTGGTTAGAATTGAAATTAAATTTTGGTACAAAATAATGTATGAATTTAGTATGAAATTATAAATGACATAACATAGTTCTATTTAAACATTTAGATACTATTATTTCTTTGATTGTTGAAAATTATATGTAACAATTATTTGGTTAAATCTTACCTTGAGTTAAAGCCAAAAATGCATGTTTTATCTTAAAAATACACAATACATACACAAATCTAGCAACTATTGATTTAAATTTTTACCTGAGAACTTCTGGATGACTTCTTTCTGGATGATTTTTTTGGCTCACACTTACTTCTTTACAAATGTGTGCGACGTGTTCTTTACAGATCTTTCCGCCATTAAAGGTCTGCTCTCCCGCTTAAAAGTCGATCATGAGAAATATCGATTACGTTCGAGAATCATAGGAAGTGTATTCCTTATTTCACCGTATTGTGGCGCTATAATCGCGCGTTTCACACAAAATAACTTGGAATAATAAAAAATTAAAAAACACTGGTCTAAATCAAATACACAAAATTTATGAGAAATTTAAAAAAAAAAAACAAAAATATTCATACACTACATAAAAAATACTTTAAACTGTTATAATTTCGTGAAAAAAATGGTAAGACAATTAACTTAATTTTATTTTAAAGAGCAATGTCTCCACTTTAACAATCCTAAGTTTGTTTCGTTCAAAGATATTTATTTTTACATCAGGCAACAAGTGCAAAAAAAAAAACAGTTTTCTTCTTGAAAATTATAAAAAGCGTAGAGTGCGCTAAAAAACCAGTGATATTTTTCATGGTCAGTATTTCAGACCCTAAGACACAAACATGAAGCTCCATTTAATATCTAGTTTATTCTATTCTTAATCAATGGTCAATAATATTTTTAACGTTACCGATTAACGTGAAATAATTTCATCATGTTTGTGATAAAATTGTAGTACAGTATCATAGATGTCATTGGTATCTCAAATTTATTTTGTCTTACTCCTTACTCCTTACTTCTTAGTCAATGATCTATTAAAAACCAGGTGGTGATATACGGTATTAATGGAATAATGAATGAAAGTGTTTAGAATAAAATCTGAAATATTTAAAAAATGATACGTTTCAAACAAGACTATTATGAATCTGATGGTGATATCGTTGAATCTCGGAAGAAGTTAATTACTAACTGGGAGCCGAAACGCGAAGTGTATGAAAACTTATTTTGTAACATAATGCATAAATTTTATGTTGACGAAAATATATAAAAAATTTATTTAAATTGTTATTCGCAATACAAATATAATATTATGAACATATTTTTTCAAGTTGGGCTTTAAGATATGGAGCTGCATTAACAGCAGGGATAGCTGCTATTAATGGGATAGTAATTAATTCAATATTCAGACGAAAATTAAAGTTACGTTATCATGGTTTGAAATTTTCTATGATATTTCTATCAACTGGATCAGCCATGCTTGCATATGTGTCTCATGAAACAGTAGGTTGAAATATGCAAAAAGTATAATATAGTATATTAAATCTTATAATTAAAAAAAGAAAAAAACAGGCACAATTAAGTGGCAATTGTTTTTTTCAGTATGTTACAGAAAAGATAGTGTTATTTCACCACAAATGTTTACCATGTTTAGAATTAAAAGCAATTGCAATACAAGAGGCTAATAGCTTATTATATAGTCTAATTACAACTCCAGCAGTAAATCTTGCAGTAAGATCTTTATATTTTTCTATTTTTATTAATTAATTTGATCATTTATATCGAAAAAATATTTATAGATTGCTGGAACTATAGGATATAGAATACCACATATATTTGAATTAAAAGAAGTTTGGAAATTATTTTGGAGTGTTATCAGACCTGAAGGTAGAACGTTATTGATTCTATTTCTTTGTAATATGTTTGTAGCTGGTATAGCGACTTATTCAGAATATACAGCAATGGAAAAAGTAACAGATATTATATTCAAAATTCAAAACTATTTAGAGAATGAAAAGGTATGGATAACATACTTAATATGTTAATATATTAATTATATACATAGATATCTACATATATATTTATATTATATAGGCTAAAAACAGACTGGAGATCTTCGAATAAAAATACAATTTCTTATATTTTATGATAAAATAACAATAAAATTATTTATACAGAATAATTATTCTATATGAACCAACTATCAATAATAATACAAAATAATTATTCTGTATAAATAATTTTATAAAATTTAGTCATTAAAAAAAATTGTAGCATTTTGACAAAATTTGAATATTTAATGTGACAATAAATATCACAATAAATCATCTTTCTGTAAATACTTGATTTACTACAGTGTACCTATGAAGGAATTCTCTGTATTTAAATATAACATGTTAAAAACAATGAATTTGTAGATTTAATTTTAAACTGGAAAAAATATGTGAGATTATAAAGATTCAATCAATTCACTATTTTAAATTTCTTCAGAGTAATTCTGAGAAATGACATAAACTATGATATTTCATAAAAATTTATTTGAAACATTACATTTTGCATATTATAAAATGCGTATTATAGTTTTGTTCATTACAAAACAATTTTTTTTCTTTACATTAGTATATAAACAACAAATTGTCATAAATATATGAATGATTCTTGTGTTTAAATTAATATTTATACTTGTATAAATATATTTATGTATATATAAGATATTTTTATACAAAAAAATTGTTATAAAATATTACTTCCAATAACTTTCTATTATTATTCAACAATTCTTTGTCATTAGAAACAGTATAATATTTTATGTTGAAGAAAATATTAATGTTTATAATGATACCTTATTTATAGTATTTTTTTTCTTAACACTCTTAGTACCTTGTAATTTTTCTATATCATTTAGAACTAAAAAAACAGTATCGTAGAAATAAGACTCGAGAATGTAAAAATCTCGAAATATATGCATTGCTCCTCAATAGAAACATTTCGTAAATATAAAGCATTAATAAGAAAAGCCGAAATATTCAAAGTATTAGAATAAGACAAAAATCGCATATGTGAAATATATTGATTTTGTTCGTATATCACAATTTTTTGGACTGCAATTATAGACATTAGTATAATGGCTATAATAAACATATTAAGTACTTCTATTTTCTAATTGTTAATAGGAAGTATGTAATAAAAAATAATATACTGTGGATAAAAGAATAAAATAAACTATTACTTTTTACACGTTAAATCAAACTGTATTTGTACATGAATATAAGATAGGCTGAAAAATATTTCCAACTGAATTTAACTTGAATATATATTATTTTCACTGCACTTAGTGTTTATTAATAAATATTCATAATTTCTTATAAAATAAATAAGCATGAAACATAAAATAAATAATAAGCACCACTGGAAATAGTAAAAGATTAAGTTGGACTATTTTTAGTACTCATATTTGTTTTTGTATTCCATAATAGGGAATACAGGAAGACATTTACAATAATAGATCATGATATAATGATAAACGAAAATTTTACAAGTATTTGTAGAAATGAAAGACGATTTTTAGAGATAATATAATAAAATTAATAGATACTGAACACAATTGTGTATATGCAAAATAATTAAATTCTATTATAACGAATGGATGACTGGCCATTATATTATTGCATTGATAATTAATATATTGCAAACAATAATTAAATGTATTTAAATAACAAATATTGCCAGGTATGTAATGAATAAGGAGTTCTTTAATAGAACCCCAGGGCAGCTGCTAGCATCTTCGACCTTGCCAATATGTCATATATTCTTGATAACTCACAGTCACTTTTTCACTCTGGTATCGAGTTAACTTCAAACTACGTCTAATATCAGGAGTAACTAACCCTTTATAGCCTCCTTTATGCAGCAAAGAATCTATCGTTTCAATTTGGTTCCATCCTACATAAGTAAAATTCTAAGTTGTAAAATACTTGCGATTATTCTATAAGTACCTTTACATATTAATATGAAATTCCTATGGAATCTAGTTTTCAGCTTCAGTTTCAAATTTAGAAATACTAAAAAGATTTTAATCAAAGATACTGCAAATAATAATAATGTCCCATAATATGTAAGAAATGTAATAATAAAAAAACCAATGTGCAAACATCAACAATAAAAGAAGAAATAACTATTTTTTCCATTAGTAATCATCCTAATCAGACAACCTATTATGATGAACCTATTAGATAAAGATACTAATAGACTAAAATACAATAAACTCTTGGACGACTTCAACAGATTTCAATCTAAAGAATTATATTACATAATCATCAAATATTATGTAAATTGGTGTGAATCATAGGATGAACATGTATGCGATATTAATTTTCACATTAAACAAAAATCTACTTATTGTCGGATTGTAAATAATTAAATACATTAAAAAATATAAAATTTTCTTAAATTTATAAATGTATATAAATGTTTTCTGAAAATTTATATGCATAAAGAAAATACAAACCTTGTTCTATCGCTACATCGGGTAAATATGTAGCAGTTCTTTTATTACCCTTTTCATTATGAAATTCTATACGAATTCCATGAACTCCTATTATCCAATCTAAATAATCTGCTCCATCTTCAAAATGTCGAAGTATAGAAACACTTACATGTAATCGTGGAAGTTCTTCCAATGTTATTGGATTAAACCTTGAATCCTTAAAAGCACTGTAAATATATATTGTTATATTTAAAATATTCTTCATATTTTTATTGTTTTTAAAGTAAAAATAATACCTGGTAGTAGCATATTCTCGTAATCCCATATGCAAATGCATGGCATTGAAGGTACCAATGCAACCTCTTAGTCTCATATCTTTCCCAATAGTCCATGTTACAAATAAAGGGCTTTAATATAAATATTAACATATTAACATTAATTCTGCTAATATACATTGTATACAAAATATTACTTTCACTTATCATTAGAAATGACAAAAATAAAAAGTATAAAATATAGTTCCAAAAATTATCTTTAAAAATTCTAATTCAAGTATTTATAGTAATTTTAGTTACCTGACACTTTCAAATATTGGTCATAAAATAAAATATATGTAACAATTGTTTTCATTTTTAATTAAATATAAATTATTTGCATACAGAAATTGTATCTGTATTGTTTGAAACATATTTACATTACATTTATAAGAAAAAAATAACCTTCAAATGTAATTAAAAACATGAAATGTAAATATTTATAACAAAGCAATTAGAAAATAAAATGCAAAAAATATATCAGGAAATACATAAGTATTTTAAGAAATGAAATAAAAAAGAATTAATTAATAAACTAATAAACTAAGAATTCATTGAAAAGTACCTGAAATGAAAACGTCCATTATAAATACTTACAAAGCTTCATTACTGAAGTTGGGTGATCTTGGTGGATCAAGTTGGTGCAGTTGGCAGTAGAGGACATCGAAACAATAAAAACCCATCTCAGGTTGAACTATTATCGAGTTCCGCACACGCATACCATTTTGTAAACTTACAGTATTATTACGCGGCGTGCTTCTGGAATTATTCAACTTCTGCTTTTTTGTTCCACAACTAGCTGCCATAGTTCCTTGATCAGTTCTTCCAAGTACAATAAATGTGATCGATTTCGTATTATACATCTTGTTCATTCGTTGCTACCGCATGTGAATGTGAGATTGTATACTTTTACATATTCCGCTAGATGTCTCATCATTCAAAAAAACAGCTGTTTCATTGCCCGCTACTTTTTCAAACATGTACCGTGTGAATCACCCCTAAGATAGGTGTCGGAACTAATTATATTGTTGTCCTTAACGCACGCTGTTGCTCTCTTTGTCTACCGCGCAAATATGTCTGTCCTTGTCGCACGCTGTTGTTCTCCTTGTCTATCGTGCATATAAGTCTGTCCTTGTCGCACTCTAGTGCTCTCCTTGTCTATCGCGCATGTATGTCTGTCTGTCGAACGCTAATGCTCTCCTTGTCTACCGCACAGACATGTCTGTCCTTGTCACACGTTAGTGCTCTCCTTGTCTAATGACGTTAGACAAGGAAAGCAACAGTGCGCGACAAGGATCTATTGAAAAAAAAATTCAACTTTTTACACACATGTTTTTCCAGGACAAAACACCCATAGAAAGAAAGCGGGAAGCCTAATTTTAAGGAGACATATAAAAAAGTTCGCAAATTATTCCTCTTAATTAGGTTTTTTTCGTAATTAGTGCAAACTGTCACAAAATGGACATGGTGGCGCCATCTAGCGGTAAGTCGGTGGCACTAATTATTTATAAAAATACTTATTTCTACATTTTACGGGTCAAATGAAGTATGAAAAGAAAGTTAAGGGTCTAATTAGGGTAATACAATCACCAAAATGCAGAAATAAATATTTTTACTATTAATTAGTACCATTGAGTTACCGCCATTAGACAAGGAGAGCACTAGCGTGCGACAAGGACAGACATATTGATGCGGTAAATAAGGAGGGGGATAGCATGGGACAAGAACAGACATATTCGCGCGGTAGACCAGGAGAATGATAGTGTGCGACAAGGACAACAATATAAATTATTTCCACCGTTTTACCGCTACGCGACGCTAGTATTTTAATGCCTCTAACGGCTAACTCATCCAATCTCTTACTACACCAGTTCTAAAGACACGAATAGTATAAATCGTGAGTGGATGCCGTTTAGATACGGATGAAGTGCGATTTTTGCTCCAAATTGGGTGCCGTTTCTTGGCTCAAGCTAAAGGTTCCTAATAAACCGAGCGTCTGAGGTTTGGGTCACCGGCATCAGCCCTATTGATGAATCTGGCGGTGACTTTGAGACGAAACACCCTATCTTCTATATCCTTTATAACCTTACATTATACATAAAATCATCTGCTACAGAAATTTCACTTTTAGTACTATCTACTGACGAATTGCAAATTGTATATTTTCAGTTATATATAGTTGTATCTATATACAAAAATGAAAAGTTCCATGCAAGAGCAAAGGAAGCAGTTCCTTCTCTCAGTAACCCACCCACTAAGTTTTGTTTGTTCTGCGTGACACTCAACCAATATTCTTAAATTTAAGAATGGTTTGGAAATAACCAACCAGACCAACATTTTTTTCGGGGAAATTCTCATCTTTGCACGACACGTGTTGATGCAAGTATAGGTCATGGTTTCGAATCTTGAGATTATTGAGTTATTACAATTGAATTCGGTAAGAATATATTTAATTTTATACAAAATATAAAAGTAATAATATATTAAATTTTACAATTTGTTTTGCTTCGAGGATTACGAGAGAAATGATTGTAATTATAGAAGATGAGAAACTAATTTTTTTTATAGAAAGAATTATTTATGGTGATTCACTTGATTGCTATTTTATGTCTAAACAAGTTCAAATATGTTTCATTGCGTTTATGGTATTAATAAATGTTTTTATAATGCATTTTATTATGTATTGATAAGAGAATTAACATTTCAGAAATGCATAAATTATTATTAATATTATTAATAAATCATTAAGTGAAGTTTATTTTATTATCAATTATTTTCCTAACTAATTTTAACTTTTCAAATATGCATTCAAATATTAATCATTTCGCAGTTACAACTTTATACATTATATAACTACATAAGTCAATAATTTTGAAATAGAAAAGCTAAAAACTATTAAAACTTACAAATTGTAATATACAAATTAAATATGTGTGGTTATTTATATAATAGACTATAGGGATATTAATAATAATTACAATAATGGTGTAATAAAGTTTGATAATATAAAATTTTTATTCATTTGTTCCAATTCTTTATATTCATTTAATTGTGAACTTATCATTTTTTATGACTATGTATAGGTACATTGTTTTATAAATTTAATCTTTCACTAGGCATAATATATTTTGTTTATTAAAATATTTTAAAATTGTAGAAAAAAATACTCTCTTAATATGTACTAGAATATAAAATATTAAATCTTTTTAATTATGAATGCAAATATTTTTTTAACATACGTTATTATTTAATATTGTCATTTGAATGAATTTTAAAAGGAAAATCAGATTTCAATTATTTGCATATGAAAAATTTATTGCGTATATGAAAACAACAAACTTATATGCCTTATATAACATGATACGTTTTGTATTACTCTACATTAATGCATAAACATTAATTCAACGTAAATATAAAAAATGTACATTTTTCAATTGCTTAATTGTTTTTATAAAGTAGTATTAAATTTGTTCACACTGAATGCATTTATTTTCAATTAAAGAATTAAAATGTTCTATTGTCACAAATCGAGCACATGCAATTAGTTTTCAAATACTAGATACTATTTAATTGTAAGTATATGACTGGCAGTTAATTGGACATCACATAATGCTGAATGATGTATATGTTTAATGAATAATGAAAATATACCAAAAATCTAATAATCCAAGGAAATTATTTTAAACAAAATAATTGTTAAATTGTAGTTAACAAAATCTTTGTTCATTAATATATGATAAAAAAAAAAGCTTTGATACAATAAAAGCAAAAATTAATAAATTTGGCAGTATATAGAACTAATTAAATGAAGGTTAGTAAATAAGAAAGTAAAAATGTCAACACGTGGAAGAACAAATTTTACTATAGATCAGATATATGTTTCATTGAATCATTTTAACGTGTTATAGTAATATGTTTTAACAAAAACAAAGTAATAATTATGTTACAGAAAGCAATAGTAACTCGTATTTTATGAGCCACAATATTAAAATTGCAATGAGATCATCACATTTTCCTCTATAACTATAGTACAATTATTATTAACGCGTTTTAATAGTCATAATGCAGTCCATTGCTTATTTACAGTAGAGGTCCCATTCTATCATTTTTATCACACTGTATCTTTTAGCAATATCTTTTAAATTTTGTAAAATTAACAATAATTTCCAGATAAATATCTACTTACTTAATCATAAGTAATGTTAGTTATGTGTGTTTATCCTTTGCTGTAGTAAAACTCTGGACTATAATATAACTACAATTATTAAATTTCAATGTACGAATGATATAAAAAGTTGAAATAGGATATCAAAATCATTTTCAAAACTTTAATACAATTTAGAGAACTTTAATTTAAATAAACATTTGCACCTAATAGAACAAAATTTGTGTATTTATATCATCAGTACAATGAAATTTAAATTAATAAGCTAAAAATTAGTACTTACACATATATTATTTACGAATTAACCATGAGAAAAACACAACAATAAGAAAGTTTTTACCTTCCTTTGTATGCGAGTAGTTTAAAAGAATATAATATATAGTTATCTAATTCATACTAGTTGAATCATCTATACAAATTTCTTATAACTTTTGATAAATAATGATACAAAAGTTATACAGAAAATAATAACCATGTACTATATATGAATTAATAGAACATCATTAGAAGAAATATTATCAATAGAAAATCTAATGTTTTTCACTCTTTACTTATGTATTTATCTAAAAATGATACTCTATATATTTTATAATATACGAATAATAGAAACATTTTCGCGTGAATTTGTACATTAAACCTTGTGAAGCAGGCAGTGAATCGCAGGCAGCATCACTGTGCTATAAAGTTGTTCATGTCACTCGTATACTGCAGACATAAATACAAATGGACACAATAAGTATGATGGCAGAAGTAATTGCACATTATATATAATCTCTATTTGTTGATTTTAAAATATTTATTCTATGGACTGAATCATGTTACTTAATTTATGAACGTATTAAAGCACATGAGAGTAGGCATTTATATTATAGTACAGGTTTTAAAATCCGAATATCTAACATATAGTTTTATGAATAATTATAAATATTGAAGTTAAAAGTTAATGCATCTTCCAGTATGCATATATATTTTACGATTATACCAATTATTAAGTAAATAATGATATTAATTGTAATATGTAAGAAATAAGACAGTGCCATCATACACAAAATGCTATCATCCTCAAGGAGGACTATGTGGTATCATAAAAGGAAAACTGTGTATGCAGAAACATACAAAGTATAGTAGGCACCATTTTAAACAATGAAACATTGCAAATAATAGTCGCCTCCAATGTCATTTTCGTTTACGAATTCCGCGATCAGCAGATTCTTGTGATGAAAAACGATGAACGCGAGGAGGAGGATGAAAATGAGAATGTGGTGGAGGATAAGATGAATTTGATTGATCCCACCAAAATGATGAGTAATCCCATATAGGTAACATAACTGGAGAAATAGGGGGTATCGGAAGAGGATGAATAAATGCAGGATGATTACGTTGTGCCATTACAAATCCATGTTCCTGATTGGCTATATAAGAATTGTATTGAGTACTATTATATAGTACGTGGGAAGTATGAGATGTATTAGCATTATAATGAATTGCAACAGAATTTTGTGGCAATTGGGGTCCTTGACTAGGACCCCAAGCCAGCTGCTAGCATCTTCGACTATGCCAATGTGTCATATAATCCTGATAGCTTACAGTAACTTTTTCACTCTGATATCGTGTTAGTTTGACACTACGTCTAATATCTGGAGTGACTAGTCCTTTATAACCACCTTTATGCAGCAGTGAATCTATTGTTTGTATCTGGTCCCATCCTAAACACAATAAATTCTGTTTTTCAAAATACATATATGTTATGTTTATGGCAAAGAACTTTTTATTATATGGTATGGTATAGAACTATATAATCCATAATAAAAATATTAATCCAAAATAATAAAACACAAAAGAATTACAAACCTTGTTCTGTTGCAACGTCGGGTAAATAAGTAGCAGTTCTTTTATTACCCTTCTCATTATGAAATTCTATACGAATCCCATGGACACCTACTTCCCAATCTAAATAATCAACACCATCTTCAAAATGTCTTAGAATTGAAACACTTACATGTAAACGTGGTAGTTCATCTCTTGTGATGGGATTAAAACGTGAATCTTTAAATGCACTTAAAGAAATTTTCAATGTTTTTAAAAATATAGAACAATATTTTATGTAAAATAAAAATATAAAATAATTTACCTGGTTGTTGCATATTCTCTAAGTCCAGCATGTAACTGCATTGCATTAAATGTACCAATGCAGCCTCTTAACCTCATATCTTTCCCAATAGTCCAGGTTACAAATAATGGGCTATGAAATATAAATGAAATTGAATTACTAAACATATAATTTCTTACATGATTTATAAATAAGTATTGTTTCAGGCAAAATATATCAATTGCAAGTTAAAATTTAAAAAAATGTTTTCATAACAGAAGCTTTTTTTATATAATGAGAAATATGTAACAAATAATCTAAACTTACAAAAAGTTATATATATATATATATATATGTTATATATATGTTCTATATATATATTCAATATTTATTTTCTTATAAATAGCATTATGAGAACATAAATAAATAATAATAATATATTTCAAATGTAATAACTAATATTAATTTCTACATAAACAACCAATTTTTATAATTAAACATGTATTTTGTATCTTGTTGGGGTGCATTAAAATTATAACAAAGAAACAAAGTGAAGGCATACGAACACAATAGGACAGGAAAGAGAAAGCAGCTGATGGCATAGGCATGTAAGATAAAGATGACCATATAAGAGAAAGAGACGACAATATGAAAGAAAGACTAGAAAATTTAAAAAAATGAAAAATGACAATAAATATCATTACTTACAATGCTTCGTTACTGAAATTGGGCGGTTTTGGAGGGTCGAGTTGATGTAACTGGCAATAAAGAACATCGAAGCAAAAGAACCCCATCTCAGGCTTCACTATTACACTGTTTCTTATTTGCGTGCCATTTTGTAACACCGAACCATTGCAAGGAACACTTGATGAATTGTTTAGCTTCTGCTTTTTCGTTCCACAACAACCTGCAGCCATGTTTTCTTAGTTGATTCCTTGAACAGTCGCAACTACTGCAGATACGATCGGTCCTCGACCCACACGACTTCCATTCTTCTCTCTACTGTCGCGGGCTCGACCGCGCGCGCGTTCCGTTAGATGTCCTCATACTCGTGGAAACAGCTGTTTCATTGTCTGCCATTTGTTGAAAGCGCGGCGTCGAACGGTGAAACTTGAAAATCGGCGGTTCTTTTTATTATCGTTATATTTGTGAGGATTAATAAATTAAAAATAAGATAAACCGATCAGAAAAAAGGAAATGGAAGCGGTGCTCAATAAACAAAACAGTTTTCGAGAATAAGTACGTTCAAGAGATCGTATTTGAATATTCTGTCGTACAATACAATGGCAGTTACAAATTTCAAAAAGAGACTCAATCTTGGTAATATTTTTGCAATAATATTTGTAAATATATGCAAAAGTAATTAATGCATAATAATCATAATTTGACTTTAATAATTGTTTACTCTTCAGATGCAAGCAGCACGATATTGTATAAATATCGTTTTATTTTGTATAATGAAACGATACGCGGTAGTTAGAGTATCGTTTGTTTTGGCAAAATGAAAAGCACTTGTGAAATAAGTGTGAATAGTGAATACAATTGTTTGAAGAAGAAACTATGCCGAGGGCACCGACTTTTCTAACCCCTTACCTGGCACCTGTTCACGATGCACCGGAGAAGCCCAAGGCGTGACAGCAGATTCAACCTGGCAACATGTGAATGCTTGTAGCTGTCCGATATATATATTGCTAAGTGTATATATTTTTTTCTGACAGCTGAAATTCTATAGCTTATCGCATAATAGTTGCGAGAGTTGTGTCAAGTGTCTAGTGAAATTACAATTTTGATTTCTTCATCTCGTACAATCAAAATATGTCTTCTCAGTAAACAAAGCAACAAGTTACCTACAAGGAATTGGAAGTTAATCTTTGTCTCTGGTGCCAAAGTAGTGATACGAACAAATGAAAACCTTAATCTTAATCCTTGTTAGTTAAAAAGACATACGAGTGAGAACTTAAAAGTAAGGCCCATGAAAGTAATGTGACATTGAATCCACTATTTATAGTCAACTTCCATATCGCTCATCATTCATTTGGATTGAACATATACATATAAAAAGAAAGAAAAAAACGTGGACAGAAAGTAGAATGGAGTTACGGAGGAATCGCAGAATCAATCGATGTTATTAGCGGAATAGAAATAGGTAAGAATTTTCCTTCTGTATTTACTCCGCCTGTGTCGCGTTACATTATTCGAATCTCGCTCGTCGATGGTCATTTCCAATCTTGTCTTGAACTTGTATATATGTATATGCATATGGTATACCATGTTTGTATTTGTTATGTACAGTTTATACATGAACACGTTATATAAAATGTGTCATAATACTCTGAACGTCCAAGTGTGACTCACATTTACGCAATCTTTACGCGGCGCTCGAATCAGATTATTTCGAATGGAGTCTCGCACGGATATTCAATGAATGGAAAATTCGAAAGCGCGAACGCTATTGGGTAAGAAGAAGAAAAGAAAATTTTGCTCCTTTTCAAATTTAATTAGAAGCAATTGCCACATATCTATGCACTAACACGTTCTTCGAAATCTTTCGATTGAATGTTCTTTTCTTCTATCTGTTATTACTTACCATTCCGAAACCGTATCACGGTGTATATCCCTTGATATTAACATCTGAAATAGGCATTACTGACATTGCCATCACACGTTCCAATTTACACTCGGCAAATTATCCACGCTTCTGTGGCGTTGATGCACGGTCGAAGCGCACCTTAAGCAACGCGCCGAGTTAATTACACTGATGAGACAACAGTGATCGATTCCACATTTTAGTGGCAGATCGATTCACATATAGTGGAATAATTGTAAACATCAGATGCGAATTTAACGATACATTTATGAAAATATAATCCATATTTTTGGCGAGGAATTGATTTTCATGATAGACTTTCTCTGTGATTTGAGGTTTGACCATAAATTAATAACGACAAGCTATTTCACTTAGACACACAAAATGCATTTGCTGGTTTAACGTAGTTACTGTTGGTATTGATAATGCACTTGTGTATGCATCCCACCGACGTGGTTTTACCATTTAGGCTACCAAACAAAAGTTTGGCCAGCCGGTTATTCGAATCGATTGTAGATGCTATAAACGAATCACCAAAAAAGTGAAAGCTATGTCCCATTGTATCTTCTTGATTTCAAATAAAATCTTTTCAAATAAAAGATTCTCCTTATATAGTGATGTGAAAGTCAATCTACCTTTAACATGGCATTTAAGATAATGCAATAATTACTTGCTCAGTGAATTTATTGTATAGAGAATGAAGATTAAAAAACAATTAGAAAGAATTGAAGGTTGCACATGATGCAATCGTCGCGCAAGTAGTTTTTACGCGTAGGAAAATCGCATTCCTACGTATAATTGAAGTAAACGTTAAGAAAAGTTGCAAAGATGTGCGACTGCGGCTATATACACATTATAAAGCTTGACAATGCTCTTCTTGCAGCATTCTTTCCAATGATTGTCTGTGTTCTCCTTTTCTTTGTATCTATACACCACTTAATTTTACCTCATTCTTAATGCAAGAAATTTTTCACAGTAAATTTTGTCCCATGGAAACAGCGATCGTTTTTTTTTTTTATAAAGTAATGGTGTCAAAAGTGTCTTTAGCTACTTTCTTTTTATTTCGCTACATTGAAATGTGCTTCACGTTACTGAAGTATCCTTGGCCTTTATTGCACCAGGATGAATTCATTATTAAATCTAGGAAAGTATTGTATATTACGCTTGATTTAAAGAAAAGTTTTATTTCATAGAATTCTTGTAAAATATACATTGACGAATATATATACTTTTGTATTAAAAACGATATGATTAAAGTCAAGAAACAATATGATTGAGCAAACCGATGCTCTTGACGATAATGCAAATGACATCATGACGGTATGCAAGTCGGAATTCACGTAATGTAGTTTGAGAATTTCTTCAGAATACTTCTGCATCGACCGCTTATCTTCATCGGTTTTTTAAATAATCACATTGGGAAATCCTTCTTTAGTAGTCATTGTTTACGATGTGATTCGTGAATTCCCACACGTTTTTCTTTCCCTTGCAATTACGATAAATCTGCTTCGATTTAAAGTTATATGCATCGTCGAACGATGATCTGTGATTTTCATTCAATCATTTACGATTACCTAATTGCTATAGATTACACTTTATAAACTATTCAGTTGTGTATAGTATTATTATTTAGCTAAGTAAAGTTTTGTAAAATTCGTTTCAAAAAGCATTTGTTAATCGCGTGGAAGAAATCTGTAATTTTTTTATCAATTCTTTTTTCGTATCTAAAATTATCATAAAAAAATCATTTCGTATTTCTTAGTTTAACACGATTTTTTACGCTTACGTATCCCTAATGATGAATAAGGCGATGACGGCTTTAATACTATTATTAAATATCACACTTACTATTCACGTGAATCTCGATAACTATCCATCAAAAGCAAATGAGTTAGTCAAAGATTCTTATTTACTGACGTATAAAAGAAGATGAATGTTAATTTTTTTGACGATATGAACGAAGATTATCGATAATTTTAAAAGATGAATCTTATCGATTGTTCTAAATATGTTCATAGTAAATGTAAGAAAGGAAATTATAATTTAACAGGTTTAACAAAATTGTAGAGTATTCCAATTCATTTGCGAACTAATTCGTGCCGTTGAATGTCAAAATATTTCTTACTTAGTCATTGTAGCGTTTTCGCAAAATGGTGTGCCGTTGTGAAAGTATTACTATATTGCAATTGTAAATTCTCTTCTGTTTATGTGTAATTCGAACATTTTCATTAATAATCTCTATCAATATCTCAAATGTTTCCATTGTATCGTTGAATTTTTAGAAGGTTGAATATACTATACAATGACTAGTTTCTTTTATTGTTAATAGTTTACAACAACCATGAGTTCCAATAGAAATATTTCTAAATGTTCGTTCTTGTATTGTAATACGCTCATTTTTATCTGTTGTGATTCTCTTCGAGAAAATTCAAGGTTAATTGTAGTCTTATTGCAAAAGATTAACTATTACTCGTTAAAAAATCATTCTCTATGCATGCTCGAACAATTTAATTGGTGAACTTGTATCATAAGTATACACGTGCAAATTGTTTTATAGCATAAATTAACACACAAGTTTCTCAAGTTTAAGTTGAATCGTATGTATAACGTGCGTGATGTGAATCAAAGATTTTTTTGTTTAAGAATTATGCATTTAAATATATTCAAAGTAGTTGCAATTATTCAGGTATACGTTGACCGATTTTCATTTCATAGGTAAAGTAATAAACCCAGTATTATTGCCTCTGCATCGTCTCGAAAAAGATAAAAATATATGACACAAATAAGACCGTAAATCTGTTACAAAAATATACTAGATTGTATCGTCAATAAAAGGAAAATTGATCATTTTAAGTTACTTCTTTCAAAGAAGCAAAATTTTCAATAATTTTAATATTCATCAAATGCATTTCGCGCTAATAACAGAGATTTATATCTTTTACAATTTTTGCTGCTCAAACTGTCAATCCAAACCAATAAATATTTCGCTAGATCTATTCTACGGAGGTTCTTGAACTTTTAACCCGGACGGAAATAGGAGAATCAAGCCGTCAACTTGCAAATCGAATCTGCTCTCATTTCGTGTCTGCCAAACACTCTACTTTATTCACTTACGGGAATATTGGCATTGCCGTGATCGTTGAACTGTATTTTTAGTCGATATACCATTTTAGAATGCAATTGTATTTTTCTAAAATATAACAGTTTCAAGTTCAAATAATACATGGTACGGACAATTATGTATAATATTTTCCTATTATTATATACAAATAACTAATATACTAATAATCTTGACTAGAGATTACAAAAATATTGCAATTGTTTATTTTAATATTTTATGAAGTATCTATATTACTTCTTTGCCAATATCTTACGTTACTAGTATTTAATGAATTTATATAGGCACACGTATTTTAATTTTTTGTTTCATTAACATTTTTACTAACTATCTAGCACGCGAAACATCTTATCAACATTTTCCAAACATTAACAATATTATTGCAATCCTTGCTCTGTTTTCCTAATATCAACGATAAATATTAACAATACCAGTGTGTAACTTTGAAATTGTAAAGATAAAAATAGATAATAGATAATACCAAGTTTCTCCGACGGCTAAACTCGATCCTGAAGAATATACTTTATTGCTGCTGTTCTCAGTAGGATGACAATAATATTCATCATCGCTTGGTATTATATCCTTCACGATGGCAAAAAAGTCTTCTAAGGGACATAGTTCTGTGCAACCAGGGATCGTTTCGATTATAAGTTGTTCGGAAACACCAGTCCAGAATAAAACCTAGCAACGAAATATTGAAAATAATTATCAATTAATACAAATAAATTTCAAATACGACATTCTACGTTTTACGGGTGAGGTATTTACCCGAACGTAATAATTCCCTTTCTTATCGCGCAGCGTTTCCAAAATGAGAGTAGCACCGTATGCAGGAACAATGGGTTCGTCCAATTCCAAAGCTCTTGCAACTGCAGCTACGTTCATCTCATGCGCTGAGAAAAAGAACGCTTTCCTATCATAAGGCTCTAATTTTCCCGCTTTGTACATCTTAATATCTTCCACGATTTTGCGTATTAACAGTCCTGCAAAAAGAAAGTATAAAAATGATTATTGTATTATCCCATACGACATCGACGATAGCTTCCTACGTGGAAAAAATGAATTAATGTCATTGTACCTCCATTTAAACGTTTCAGTGTTCTTGTGTACGATCGCAGTTTAAAATCCAACGCGATTATTTCCTTCATCGAAGTAGGATAAACCATTTGGGTCCATTCTGGGAGAGTTAGGTTTTGAGCTGCCTAAAAATCAATAATCCGTCTGATCTTTTCGAAAATCTGTATCGAATACTTGAAGTTGCTAATAACGTGCAAAAGTAATTTCACCTGTTCCTTTAATAAATTATAAAGATAAGTGACGGCGGATGTTGTGTCGATTGCTTTACCAGTCCTTTCGGTCAAATAATTCATCACGGATTTATATTTCTTCATTAAATCCTGCGCCTTGCTTTGTCGCAGGAATTTCCTGTATTCTTCCCTGTATCTTGAGTCACGAGAGGAACAAAATATAATTACTGCTAATGCGAAATACCGAGAGCTGTCAGGTGTCCGCGCGATCCTATTTTTCACGAATAATTCGCCTCGCGTAATAAAGGCGGACGCGAAAAGAATTACCTGGGGCAGTGATGCGGAAATAGGAGATTGTCAGTTTCATAGGGCTCGAAGAACGAGAATGTTGGAATCCAAGGTAGACGCGGATTCCAGGTTTGCTTCTCCGAGGGCGGGAATAATCCAGCCAGAACTAGCTGCAGAGACAACTGAGTTCTTGGGATGAGAGTCGAACGGGCATAGATCTTCTCTGGCCAGTAATCTGGCCCGAAATATCGATCGTAACGTTCACGAAGCATTGTCCCAATCTTGTATTCTCGTAGCTTGCCTTGCTATGCACATAGTTTCACGAAACAATTATCATCAACAATTACCATAATTACTATAATTTGTAGACGTGTATCGTCAATGATACTTTAACTCTATAATTGTTTTTATAATGACAGTTTTCCTTTGTTGTTATCAACGACACAAACATTAAAGAGCTAGACTGCAATAACCAAGTACAAAACTGTATGTGTAGAATGAGTCAAGTTATTCAAATTTTAAAAACATGGAGTTTTGTAAAAAAAGAAGTTGTTTGATCGTACATTCAAGAACTTCTTCGAACTCGCAAAATATATGATCAAATCACACCTTAGTGCGATGCGATATGAGATTTAGATTCGTATCTGAATAAATTACAATCTCTACCGCATGAAATTACATTGAAATATTGAAATGAGGACAAGATCATAACCGATATTTATAGTTGTAGGATACACTGGCGTTACATACTTTACACAGCATTACGTTGACCTGTAATTATCGCAATCGTAAATTTTTATTACTTACGTTCGTTAAATCTCCATCGCCCATTGGATAGTACGAATAATCGCGATAAGGATCATTAGGATAATTTTGATGGTCTCGTTGAGGTACTTTCTCGCCGTGTCGAAACACCTTGAAAAACACACACTGCGATTAATTTCAACTATCTTTTACACTAACGATTATTCAAAAAGAATCACCGACTATTTTACGCATTGGTAGATAAATGATTATGTACTTTCACCACGAGATATTTAGGAAAGGAGGTTATATCCGTTTGAAAAACTACAATTACTTGCATACGATTTTCACCTGGAACGACCGTGAAAAAAACTTTCGGCAACAAAGTGATTATTTACCACGTGCAATAATTGTAAATCCAAATCACAGTTGACCATGGTGACGAATAAAATAAGGGTAAAAACCACCATCGTACGGTCGAGTAACATCTCTTGTTTCGTTGGCACTGGTCTGATAACGATACAAAGAACCGGCAGGTACGTCCGGAATGTACAATTTCTCCGCGCGATCTACGAATGAGTATATATTGCTGTTCATACTTAACTAAAACAACTGGTCGGGTGGGGGTGGATAAGGAACACAGGCGAACAGGTTTGCAGTTCTCTCGATTTTTATTGTGAGTTCCTCGTTTTTGCTTGTTACGTTGATCCTTTTCCTGCTGCTAACTCGCGATTGAAGTGCTGTTCCAAGGCCACGTATTTAAAAAAATGAAACTTCTGGTAGAGGTTATCCTTGGTCTAGGTAATTGAGGTTCAATATCACACTCTCAAAAAAGTCGATGTGCTTCGACGTCGATAAACAAAGATTACTCTGGATCGCCTTGAACATACTTTACATATGTGGTCTCTTGCAGTTGAGTCTCAAGAAATGCTTTCGTCCACTATTTTCTCTTGGTTGATCTATGAACTTTCACACCGCCTCGCGAGAAGCAGAGAAAGTAGGTAAAGGTTGAGTTACATAATTCATCACCGAATGTGTAAATAATTACGAGTAATTTAAGAAATGGCAGATCTTTCCTAATCCACTGAAGTTTACTTGTTACTAAGATACGTCAGAAATAATTTGAAAATAAGATTCACGTTGTACCTCATATATGGAAGTGACTCAGTGCTCGATCAGATTTCATATAAACGACAAGCGTTAATTGATTATGTAATTAAAACATTTACATGGATTTGTAATTAGTTTCATTATCGTAATTACGCGTACTACTATCTGCAATCGAAATTCATCGACATAACAGCACACACACGAAGCTTATGAAATATTTTCCTTAATTTAATTTATTTGCCCTAAGAATTTGATATTAAAGTGCCAAGAATCTACTTACGCTCGAAATGCTGCAGCTTATGTTGAAATCGTTTTCTGCATAAATTCAAATGTCTGGAATTTACGAGGAAAAAAGAACTTAACTATCTCTTAAAAATTGTTTCATTATATAACTGATTACGTTCTAAATTGAAAATATATATAACTTATCGTTGATAATAAAACTTATCGTTGAAATGGATATTTGTAAATTATTTTTTTGGTAACAATTCCGACGGACTAGTTTCCGAAAACTAGCGAGTATTTCGTTGATAAGTTCGTTGATAAGCTCGTTGAGCTATTTATAATCGTGTTGAAAAAGAAGCAAACGAAGAAACCTTTCCATAACCGCATGCAAAATGTAGTTCTGTAACTTTTCAGTACAAACGTTCGCTAGTTTATCAAGGATAAGGCAACTTGATTGTTATCGATAACCTCTATTTGATTGTAATATAGTACCACAGGCTGGTACATTGGCTATTCGTCCTATTGCATTCTCTCTCAACCACGGTGTTATAAATACGTTCAGTTACGGATATAAATTGTTCTAAAAACTTCAATAGTTTAGATACTATTTTAGAGCTGAAAAATCGAAATACTATCCTTATTTTACGTATTACAAAAAGAGAATATTAAACGTTTACGATGGAAGAAAGTATTATACGAATTATAATCATCGGTAATTTTATATTTATTCATTTTGTACAAATGTTATTAGACTGTGGATTATCATGCATTTGTAAGAAATTTAAAGATACAAAAATGCACAGAATGCACGTAATGTGGAAAAAAAAAGAAATGAAATATCTGAAGTGCAATAACATTATACTCTACATAATAATTAATAGAGAAAACAATTTTTTATCTAGTTTCTCTTTTCTAAATTTCATTTATAAAAATATGAATTTGCATAAAGGTCCACAGTCTAAATACTATATTAGTCACTTCGTTTTGTTCAAGTAAAGACATTAAGATCTGACGTCGTCTGGATTTTCTGGTTTAGCAATCTCATCAGGCTTGTCTGTCTGGCTTTTCCTTTTATACATTGGTTCTCGGAACAATAAGACGTTATACTGTATGTAGGCAAACAATACAATTACAGTAATGATATAATGATAAAACAATTTACTTTGAAATATTAAAAAAGAAAACGAAGGTTGTAACTTCGTTCGAAGTTTATTGTATCTGAAAGAAAGTAATTCGATTGTACGGTAAGAGATGTAACTCAATTTTTACGGAATTGACGTTTATATTTTTACTAGAAAAAGGATGGTAAACACAGGTATTTTTAATCACTCTTTTTAATGAAAATTATTATTCACTTGCCTCGCGAATATATTTTTCCTTAATGACCATCGTTAATGAATTGTTTTGTATACACTGATATAGTGAATAGAAAACGATGAATGACCACCTTATACGATTATTTGAAACAGAAATGTTCATTAATCGCAATTTAATTTAACAAAACTTGTTACACATTTTTTATTTTACATTAAACGTTGTAGAAAATATAACGAGATTGGAAGCAAGATATGAACTATTTATGGACGATAGATTTTACACTCTGCTACTTCATTTAATCGAAAATCCTCGATCTCGGTTCAGGTGCGACACCGTATAGGTTACATCTTTTTTTAAATCCTCCTTGCTTTAAAATAATTCTTTGCTATATGTAGTTCTTGGTACTTTTTCTATTTGTCAACATCTTGTCGTATTTTTGAATATTGAGTACGCCTTTGTTGAGAAATCACAATGGAAGATTTCCTTTGAAGCTGTTCAACTTTCAATATTAAATATTGTAAAGTATTACTGCTCGATTCCAAAGTTTTCTATTTAAAGATACAATGACGATTTTCCATTGAACATGTACTTAATTCGTTTTATATTGGTTTGAAATCTAAATGTGAAATAAGTGACAATGACAGATCGCTGTCGACATGATTGTAATGTGTTTTTATAGTGTCGGTGCACAATGATATACTACGTCATAGGATCGTAGGTGAAGAAAAATTGTCACAACTGTGCATCATAGGTGAAACAGGTTGTGGGTGTGTCTTCTGAATAAAATTTATCGATATACGCCTCTGTGTCTTTCACTGCGGACACATGCATATTAAGGGGTCGAAGAAAGAAAATAAACCGATCTTGAAAGACCATAACCTCTAACAACCGTGCGCTATGTTCCTAATGAATCTTTAAAAAGATTCTTCCTGCCACAAGAGCCGACATTATCTGTCGCAAATCCTTATCGCGAAAAGATTTCATGAAACTTTATATAAAGAAAATTACGACCCGGGTAATGTGTATTAAAACTGAACTCACCGGCAATCAATCCTTCTTGCAATCACGTGTGTAATGCAGTCGCTCGGCTTCACGTTGCTAGATTATTGGGAAATTTATGAAGTCTTTATAAATAGATGATTAATAGTATTTGTCTTTTTACTAATAGTATTTTATATTATTAACAGTATTTGTTTTACGCGGAGCAAGTTAAACGACGCGTATCGTAAAGGACTTTAACAGCAATTTAAATAAGTGCTTGTCGCTTGTAATAAAGAAATTTGGTTGTATTTTAACAGGATTCATTTCTTTCAAAATTTCAGTCGTTCTTACTAGATATACCTTTTTTTTTTTTGTTTTTAACAGCTCACGTATTTGTTGCATTCTGCGATTATAAAAGATAAAGAATCGATTGTGTGTTTATCTTAATCGCGTATAATTTCGAACGTCATTACATCGAAGAATAGTTCTGCGAACAGCACTTATCTCGGGAATATATATTTAAAGCAGGTACCGATTGTTAACAGTACACCTTTATTGATCTCGAGATATCGAATGTCGCGACGCATTATGCAAAAATCTCCGCTAGACTGTAACTATTCGTTGCAAGTTGTTCGATTTTATCCAGTTTTCACAACTTCTTTCTCTCTTTTTCTCTTGTTCTCTCTCTATTTCGCAATTCGTTCTTATCGTGTTCGTTTTTTTCTACCTGCCTTTTTTTTTTAAATTCACTTCCACGACTGGACTTTTGATCTATTAACACATCTCTGAACCGGTATATCAATTATTCGATTCCACGTTCAAGGCTGCAGTCAGAGACCTTGAGTCAAAGATCTCTCCGTACAACTATCGCTAAGTTTCTCTTTTTATATATAGATTAAAATATTATACTATATGAATTAATTAATTTTTTATACTATATGAATTAATTAATTTTTTTATCGTCTGCCTTCTTGTATCGGTGTATTGAAATTTTACAACAAATCCTCGTACATTTCCGAGCACTTAGAGACAATTTGAACTAACTATACATGTAATTACGCAGGATGAATTATATTAACATTTGTTTAACTATGCAAGAGAACGTGTAATTTACCCGGATCTTAAATGCGTAAATCCTTAATCTAACGTCCTTGCATCTGTGGACGAATACAAAAGTGAGTGGAAGAGAAGAAAAAATGATTAAAATGCCGGATATACATACATTAGAATGTGATACATACGTAAATGTTCTTTGAAACATAAAATCCGTGTACATATATCACGTCCAAGCCATAAAAACTGAACAATATTTGCTATGACATGATAATCAGATTTGTCGTTCGTGGTAAAAATTAAGCATTAAAATAAGTTACTAAGTAATAAAGACAACGTAATAGAGATAATGTATTTACCTGTAATTGACAACTTGGATATATAGGCATGTGCACAAATGGATTATATCTTTCGAAGTATTTAACGTTGTAATTAACAGATCAATTAAATTGTCATAATTTCTTTTTTTTTCTTTAAATATTCATGCGGTTATGCCGTTGTGTTCAAAGACACAAAGACGATAATATCCTAGTGAACAATCGTGGAGTAATTTAAAACATAACGATTACATTGCTAAGAACAGAACGATTATATTCCTTCACATCTTTACGACAAATATTCCCTCAGAAATACCTGATTTCGTCAGTGCTGAATGGAACATCCTTAGAGAGTTCCAATGTTTAACATTGTTGTTTATCAAGATCTACATTGCCACCCGAAACTGTATTCAAGAATTTTAATCTGGCTACAAATGCAACGTTCATCGTTAGTGCGAGATGCGCGGGGAGGCTCCCCATTATTACGTACAGAATTAATAATGGATGCGCCAGGCTGCAAGGGAACAGAGTCGCAAATTAGGCGAGTTTCTTATCGTGAATGTACAGCCACGTGCATGTCGCTTTTATGATCCGCAATCATTCACGCATTATAATTTTTAATAAGC